TGAATTCAATGCATTTCTACTTCTGCCTCGTAGCCTTCTTTTCGTTTCACGTAATCGATGCTATTATTATATTTTCGTTTCACGTAATCGATGCTATTATTATATTCAGTCGAATTGATATTTTAAAATTTTAATTTGTATTCTAGCATTGATCGAAAAATTCTTCTTACAATTATGTTTTTTAAGCAATGAAATTTGTCGTTATTTTATGCAATCTTTATTTCACCAAAAGAAATGCATTAATTTTATTGCATTTTGCTCAAAAATAGTGTGTGTATTTTATTATTTACATTTTATTGCTAGTAAAAAACATTATCATATTGTTAACGATAAATTTATTACCAAAAATATTATTGCTTTATGGTTACAGTAACTGCTTCATATTTTCACTTCCTTACAGTATTATTATTAGTAATATTTACAGTATTCTTAGTATTGTAATAACTTTATTCGTAACATTTACTGGTTTGGAAAAAACGGATTTTTATTCTCTTATTTTTCACATACTTTTATTCCTCACAATTTAGATTCTGAATTTTTGTTCTCTTCATTATCTAGAAGAATTATTATTAGCACTGTAATATGTAGTTGCGAACGAATATAGAAAGAGCAAACAAGTATACAAGAATATATATAATACTGATTTTCTCTGAGATATCTGTAAAAGTCTTATGGATAAAGTCATGACTAAGACTAGTACTGTATGTTTTTCATAGTGAATGAAAAGATTTATTTTTACTAAGCTTAAATTGGTAAATATTAAAAGCATGACTTTATCAGTCAAAGTAAGTATATTTTCTTATCAATTTCAGAAAGCTTACAAAAGCAGTATTGAATAAAATTTCTCGATCTTTTTAGACTTATGAAGTTCTACTACAGGCTATCCTAAATACAATAATTGCTCTGTAATTTGAAATAAATAAATAAGCTTAATCTATTAATTCACATGGTTTTTTATAGAGTGAATAAAATTAATTTATTTTATCTTAATAAAATTTAGTTATCAATCTAAATGTTTGCTGAACTTTGACGTTAATTTTAATAATTTATTTTCAAGTTAAGACGATTACAAATTGACTATTGTAAAACTAAACTGACAACGTGATGTCTGATACGCAAGCGCTTGATGATCCAAATCTAGCTTCTGGCACTGAAAGTGTGACTGTAAATGCGCAAGTTATAGCAACAGGTATGGAAGCTGAAATGCAAGAATACGCTATACAATGTGCAAATGAAGCAATCGCTGAGTAAATTTGCTTTCTTCTCCATCACTTACAATATTATTCATTTTTCACTTGAAAATATGCGTTCCTAAAAAATTTACTACTTATCTGATTTGTAACGTTAACGTAACGTAAACGTTAACGTTACAAATCAGATAAGTAGTATATTTTGATTGCCTTGACAGTAATACTTGAAGATTTTTTTCTTAACGTCAAAAATTTGATCTCTTACAGACTTGTTACTACAGATATACATGTACTATTGACAATTAACTGTTCTAACTTTGGTAATTTCAAATTAAGAAATTTCAGTACAAGCAGACGTTTGCAATGCAATAAACAAGTTCTGAAAAGCCTATTCTCGTTTATGAATTAATTCATTTGACATTAATTTACAGGCATTCGGGTCAAAATATGGCAATTGCTCAATACATAATGTCACACTTCGAAGAAAAGTATGACTCGCCTTGGCATTGCGTTGTGAGCGACGGAAATTTGGGATTTTTCGTACGATATGATGCATCTAATCACATTTACTTTACTGTAGGACCAATTACTATATTTCTTTTCAAAAACCAATGCTAACTACCGTACTTTATTTTATTTTATTTTATTTTTATACCAAAAATATACAATTTTTGCTTTTGTTATCTTTGATTACTATCATTTTGTATTTGTAACAAAGCATAATATAGGATAAATTTAGTCAAACGACAAATAATATTCCATCTTTGCATTAATACAACAAATGAAATGACTGATAAATAAAATGAGCAAAAGACATTCTCAAAATATGCATAATGAAGTATTATTTATCTATACAAAGTTAAGTACTTCCAATGAAAACTTTCCATCTTTATCCTTCCAAAAAGGAAGGAAACCAGTAGGTCGTTCAGAAAGCATTTGCAGCATTAATTCAGCGATTTCTGATTTTATGAACTTTTCGTTCTTTTCAGAAAAGTATTTAAATTTTTAGCGTTTTTTACATCAGAATTATTAATAATGCGAAGCATTTGCCCCCGTTTTGATGAAAACATTTGTAAATTTTCGTTCAAATGACAAAAAAAATTTTCAAATTGTGGAATCTAATGTTTCAAGTTTGCCATATAGGTGTACAGTTCATGCATGCGCTATATGAGAGTAATCGCAACTTCCATTACATGATTTCAATACCGGTGAATTAATCTTTAGAATTTCTGCAAGAGATTTAAAATTCAATAAATGTTCCACTTTTGCTTTTTATATCATCAATGATATAAGCGTGAACCAAGTACAGAACCTGTATCACGTATTATACTGTGATTATAATCGCATAAAAAATCGTGATTTTCGCAGATTTCTATAAAATTAAAAAATTTTCTGATAAAAATAATTTTTTGAAAATATGTAAAGCTCAAATACATAAATATTATTTCAGCAAGTAAAAAATGCAATAAAATAATAAAAATACTAATGTTTTTTTGTATTCTGATAGATTTTAGTCAGATTAAATTTATTAGTTACGTAATTTATTCTAAAATTAAGCAAAATTTATTAAATTGATATAAGATTACAAAATTTATAGCATTTACCTTTTTTAATAATGTTGATACTATTATGAATCGGTACGGCAACAACTGCAAGATTATTTTCAATCGAATTTTGTGGTAAACAGTCGAAAACAAAACGTGAATTAATCCCACAGAGCTGATTATTACCGTCACTTTTAAGACATTTGCTGATTAAGAATTTTTTGATCTGCCTTATACTGATCCTAAATAATTGACTTTCATGTCATATTTCTAGTTCTGACAGTATTTTTGTACAAAAATAAAGTCTTTAGTACAAGCAAAAATATTCATTTTTTGTTTTAAAGTAATCTTTGCAGTAATTATTTAAGATTCTTCACCTAAACACATCTTTGTATTCTTGATTGAAAATATAATAAATGAGACAGTTGATGGATGAATTCAATATAACTAAGAAATTGCTACCATCAGTGAGAAAATTGAGCAATAAAGCATCTGTTTCAGAAAACGTTTCTATCATATTTACTATTAATGCCTGAAAGCATATAAATAACTCATGAAATCAATCAGTAAAATCCTCAGAAAACATTTCTGCAGTGACTGTTAATTAATTAATTACTTTCTGTAGTTTCTCTTTTCATTATTTTTTATAATTTTGTGATCAATCAGAAAAAAAGGATTATTATGTAAAAATAAATTAGCTGTTGGATGCAAAGCAATGAAGTACTACAGATACCTTTCGACACTGATATGGATAATTAAATTTTTTTCTTTGCCATATGAATAATTATAATATGAATAATTAAATTTGTTCAGTTCCTCATTACAATTATTTGCCCTATTACTTTAACATCTATTCAAACCATTTCAATTCTATCCCTTCAAAAATCGCTTATATTTCTAAACTTATTTATTTTAAATTGATAAAAAATGTGATGATAGTTTTTGAAGTTATTATGTTGTGTGGACTGTCACTAATTGCAA